AGGAACCAACCATTTCAACCAATAGGATCGTTCCTCACTCCCTAGATCTTCTTTGTCTACTGATTTGTCTATCAATTTCAACAATCAGCCCTCAGCAGTCTGATTACTAAAACTATATCGGCACGACAAAACAGGGCATGGCCCTATCTTTACCATGCATTATATCGTATTTCGAAGTCTTATCGGGCTGCTTTAAACTTTTAATAATCGGCCCGCAGATTAGACTTTTATAAATCCAGTTTTTGGCATACTAACATAAAATTGTCTATTTTTGCACAATAAGCTTCCATCTGGTTTAAACTTTTCGTGGAAATTATGGGCGAATTATCCGGCTTATAACGAAAACTGACAACGTTCTCTGTTGATGAACTGTTCGAAAGTCATCCATGATCGGAGAACCGGTTTCAATTCGACCGAAAAATTTGAGTCCCGATTGATTTTATTACCCAGGAAACGACCACTTGACACCCTTATATGGCTTTCTGGGAGCTAGGCAGGTATTCGACCTAAAGTTTATGATAGTTTCACCTTGGTTCTCTGTTTTCGCGTAGCTCTGAAGGAGTACTGGTGGCTAATTCCAAATGCGCTAAAAGCTATTTCATGTCCCGCGAAAATGACCACATGCGTAAAGATGCAATGCGCTTGACGAGAAGTTCTCGAGATAGCGGTCGAGAGAATCGGAATATTCTGTATCAAGTTTTTCCTGGCGAATTTTGAGAAAATTCCCTTAATCTTGCCAAACCACGGGATGATACATTGATATTTTTAATATTTGCCAATCATTCCAGGGAACAATCAGTGGAGATTTGTCAAGCTGGCAACACCGTTTTATTACCATTTAAATCCTTTAAACATATCGATTTGCTTCACTAAGAATCGATATTTCACATGCATTTACATGGAGGAATAATAATGTTGCCAACTCTCAAATTGCCACGGAAACGAGCCGACGTTATGAGATAGAACACGTAAAAAATTAATATTTCTCCAAACGCAATAATTGAATCGGTTTCTGTTAGACGGGCGGTTGTCCAAGAACTCATGAGCCCCGGCTTTTTTTGATCGCTCAGGATGCTGGTGCTCAAGAGTTTTTGGACGTATGCTAGTCTAACAGAAACTACTTCAATTATTCCCCGACATATTAATTATTTTGTTCTTGTAGTATGTTTTTTCCCGTGTCTGACCCATGTTTTTTCAAGACTTTTTCCGGATTGCAAGGTTTTTCCAGACTGTTAGTATTCCAATAAAGTAACGTAACATTATTCCAACTTGCAAAATGTAAGTCCAAAAACTTTTTGGCATTTGTTTTGGATTTCACGAAAAAATCAGAATAATATTGGACCAAAATTGTACAGTCAGTCACATTTTTGTAAGAAAAAGGAATGTTTCATTTTTACATGAAAAGGAAATTCGCTAAGTTTCGCTAAACTTTGGACAAAACTCCTTAGCTTAGAGATCGAATTATGAAGGAAAGTATTCAGAAGCTGTTTAACAGATGACAAGCCTAAAAAATTATGCGAAAGAGTAAAATGTTGGAAGATCAGTGATCTGTAGTGACTAGTAGATGAGTCAGAAATTCCATGACTTCCCTAACTTTCCCTAATAATCCCTGCTTTTCCCGGTTTCCCAGACCGCTGGTAACCCTATTCGGACGTATTTCTGTCAAACGGAACTATGTGCATTATAACATGAGCCCTGTTACGCATGTATTCTTATGGGTCCCAGGGCTCATGTCTAAATGCACATAGTTCTGTTTGATAGAAATACATCCATTTGGCAACAGTGAGCGGCGGCAGCTGTGCTCACGATGGCACCATCGGGAGCTCTCGGCGAATTTCGGCGAAAAAGATCAATTCATAATATCCGCAGTCCTCTCAGACTTACTCAGGAGAAAGGAACAAGAGTGTAAACACGATTCCTAGGGTGGTAGAGCAGAGGGGAGATTTCGCTCCGCTTTGTTCTATTCAAGTGTGTCGACTGGGAACAATGCCCCTCAGGAGCCCGTTTCTAGGACCAACAAAGAAATATTAAGTAAACTAAAACCGCTCTTGAAATTAAGTTAATTTCTTGCAGCGAGGAGAGGGCCAAAATGCTGCGCTACCGCAAGAGGACCCACGTTACCTCATTAGAAAACCTTGGTAGTTACGCGATTTCTGTTCAGGCGCCGCCGCGCCGGCGCACAGTGGATCGGGTCAACGGGAGAGGTCGGACACGATTTGAAAACTTTAAAAGCGAATATCTTCATTAATATAAAATGTTGTTTTTCAAAAGTAGCTTAATTGGTTTTCTCGTAAAATTTTCTGTCAAAAGCACCCCTTAAAAGTAAAATTGTGACGAGATAAACGTGAAATTTTCAAATTTCTGTTAAAAATTTCAGGTCCGATTTCTTCTGAAGACTCGTACCGCTGTGCGGCGGGCGTTGCAGCCGTCCCTGTGCAATAATCATAAATTACGCTAGTATTAGACTCGCTGCTAGCTTTGATAATTAGGGCAGGCTTTGGTTTTGCACGGAGGAAATGGAAAGTTCAAACTGACAGACGGACGTATTTATGCTAAAAGGGACTATGTGCATTGGCATTGCGTGCAACATAGTTCCTTTTAGCATAATATGCCCAGATGTGCTACAATAGCAAGAGAAATCCACAAAACGTCGTTTTTCTCACGAAAGAACGTAACTACATTTCAATGTTGCCAAATTTCCCCTTGCGGGTTTAATTTTTACCAGGAGAATCTTGGGTATTTCTGAGTAAAAATTTCACTGATTTTTCTTCTGATCTTGTGCAGAAATTAGACAAATTTTGGACACAAATTGTCGATAATCCAGGATTGCGCGAAAAGTCTAAAAAAATGTATGAGGATTGGGCGAAAAAGGCGCAAAGATTACGCGAAAAGAAACCTTGGCATCTACTTCAGGAATACGTGACTTTAAAATGAAGTTTTTAAGGTAGAAATTTGGCAAAGCAGGAAACAATTGGAAAATTAACGCATTTTTATGTTAACACTAGTCAAGGTAAGTTTGTGAACAAGACATCGATGTCCTACCTTCTGATGATAAACAAGGTGAAAAGATTGAATAATGATCGTGGGTATAATAAACTTTCTTGACTTTTCTTGGGAAATATATTTAATTGGGAGAAATGAGGCAACGTTGGAATGCTCATACGGCGCGGCGTCAAACACAACATGGCCTTCTTAAGCTCTACTATTCGATGCCGTGATTAACGCGAGTTCGAATAATCGCGTCCAACACATGCAGTGCGGCCGGCGTTGAACATATATTAGCGCCTGCAAGACCTTAGGAATACTTCGCGCATTGCGCAAAAAGGTCCGGTCCGCCGCGCACAGCCCATATTAGCGCCTACAAGACTGCATGAATACTTCTCGCATTGCGTCAAATGCAGTGCAGTCGTTCAGTTGACGTGAAACGCAATCTAGCGCCTACAAGACTGTAAGAATGCTGTCCGACTGCGTGCCATTATTCATGACTTTCTGCTCCAGTTTAATTAAAGGGAGGGCATGTATCCTCTCCTCGCTATATTGATTCTGGGGATTGGATTATATGAATTGATTTATTTTGGTTACATTAAAAGAAAATAGAACGGACGAAAATATCGCGTTGAAATTTTCGATTCTTTCGTTTGAGATCATTTAGGTAAATTTACGGAAACTTTTCAGAAAAATTGTGTGTAGCTTTTTAAAAACATGTATTAAAAATAAAACATAAAAGTGGTGCATAACGTTGCAATTAGAGTTGAATATAGCTTTGTTTCGGGTGCACCCGTCGGGTTTTGAATACGTTCATCTCTTAAAAGACTCGGACGTCGTTGTTCTACAATTTTTTACGTGCAATGTTTTCAAGTTATGAAAGATCTCTGGGCCATTCGTGCTGCGAAGGATATACTCGGAGGAGAAAACTCGAGGTATGACATAAAAAGTTTCTGATTTTGCCCTATGGATTTTCATGTTCATGTAAAATTTTCTGTTATTTTTTTCAAAGTTTGTGCTGATTTTACAAAAACTTCTGATCTCGTCCTTCGATGCCATAGCGGAAAGAAAATGTAATGCCTATAATTATTTTAGAACTGAAGCGAGAAGAAGGATGCCAAAGGTCAATCGTTTTTTCAACGATTACACGACGACGAAACCTTGTCTCAAACGGCACTTGCAATATACGATGGTAAACTGCGATTACGAACTTCCAGATTAAGTAAAATGCTATTCATCAGTAAGAGAATCAACGGGACGAACATATCATTGCAGTGCATCTGGCATAAACAAACATGACTCAACCCACGAAATCATCCATTCACTTACCTGCGGTTCGATCTTTGTATCGTCATCGAATGACTCCAATCGATATGCCATTGCCAGCATATGAATGTATCGACCAGTTCATTCGATAAATAATTCGACGATCAACGCGCTGATTTATACACACTTCAATTCATGCCAAGTAAGATTACGTAACCGCAAAATAAGAGCGTCAGGTTCTTCATCCGTTTTTTCCCCCTTCTTGTTCACGCGAAAAAGATCATGAAACTTTACTTATTTTATTAAATTTTAGGATACGCGTAGGTATGTAAAATTCACTCTCTGTAAAATTAAGGAGGTATTTTAAACTTATTCTTGCGGTAATTGAATCGTGTCCGCATAGGACACAACATGATTGCCCTCTCCTATACTGCGTGCTGAGGAAAAACGCCGTATGAACCTTTAGGCGTTGCCAACTTTCCTTTGTTAAATATCGAATTTTCGGGAAAATTTTTGAATATTTTTACTCCAATTTTTCAGCTAATTTTTTGGTAATTTCACTAAATGCTCCTGAAAATTTCAAGGGAAAATATTCATAACTTTTTTCAAAAGTAACTATTTTTGAGTCGAAATTTGGCAATTCTTGAATTTTCATACGACGTTTTTCCTTAGCACGGCAGTATACTAGAGCAAAAAATAGCGAAGTGCACATATATAAAGGTTTACTAATAATTTGTGGAAACACTCACCAAATACAAAACGCTGGGAGGAAATTATAATCCAAACGGTGATTTTTTAGGTATTTCAAATTCCACAATAACTGCAGGGACGGAATGATTCAGTTCAAAATAGAGAAAACGTTGCTATTCAAAGTATTTTATTAGAAAAATATTTCTTTGAGGCGGTGTAAGAGAAAAAGCAGTGCTTTTCCCAAGGAATCGACAATTCTACGATCCGTATTTACATTCAGTCCTTTAATGAGTCTTTTGCCTGACGAGGCCAATACCCTTTTGGAGGAGATTACATGAGAATCAATTCATAAAAACTTTGGGAAAATTTGTTACAGTATCACAAAGACTGATTCTAGAAGAGGATTCAAATAATTGGCCGCTAAAAAAACTGAAACACATTGACGTAAAATTTTAGTATGATTTCAGAAAGTTTTTAGGTACGTCGCGGCTACTCAAATTTTATTAAAAATTGTGGCATTTTCTTTTCATTTTTTTTTTAATCGGAAATTTTTTTCTTTAGTTTTTCTTTTAAATCCGATAAAAGGATTCACGCATTGACTCATTTTTTTTCAATGTTACTCAACATTATTTGAAATCGCCCTTCCCCTCCGAAACAGAATTATTTAATAAGGAATGATCATGAATACGGAGCGAAAAAATCGTTGCCATGAAAAGAAAGGGGATGATCAAGTAATGGGATTACTGGCACCTTTGAACCGCGGACATTAACCTCACCACACGTTTATTGACAACTACTTCGGCAACTCAATCGGTTGAAAAAAGAGAGAGTATTCTGGGTGTTCTTTTCTCAAAATCCTTAAACCCAAAACGCCGCGAATAAAAATCTCTCAATTACGTCAGAGATAACTCTCAAGTCAGGCCCAGATAAGTGGTTTGGGGTGGGGAAATGGGAATCGAAGAGGACATTGAATTCACCCCTATTCGCCAAGCGTAAGGTATGATCGCACACTTGAGCACTTCACACTTAACAACAAAATAAGTTATTCACCCAGGCTTTTTTCATGCGATTCAATTCAAAAGTGAGCATCGCTCAGCGAAAAGAAGGTATGAGAGCAAAAATTGATTGAAAAAAGCTCCAAAAATGAGGTTAAATAATTTCTGAATGCACTTGTCGGGGTGCAAAACGTAATGAACTTACACATTTACAATTTTCATTTTCTACACATATGCGACGGTTCGCCCGAGAAAGGAGACTTTTCCCCTGCATCCATAAAAAATCCATAAAATTTTAAGATTGAATCATCACCTCCAAAGGAAAGAACAGTTTTCTATGAAAATTTTTCGCATCAAAAACCGTCACACGAAACTAGAGCTATTATATTATGGCGTGGTGTTTTGAAAAAATGTGACTTTGATAAAAACTAATTTGGATTTTAAGATACCACGAGTGGAGCACAAAATTAATAACATTTACTTGCAACTTGTTCTTTGGTGACTTGAGCGAGAATTAGACTACGTTTTAAAAAAGAAATTACTATTTTTGGCACATTCATAGAAGTTCCCATGTTCACAAAGGGAATTAAATTGATTCCCCCCCCCCTAAAATTAGCCAGAAATAGTAGTTCCTTAATGAAAAATGTATTCCAATCTTGTGTCGAAATTTCAAAATAAGATTTTTGGATCCTATTTCATCAAGAAAATTTTGCGTCTCGACTGACGTCCCATTCACTGTAGACGCTCACTTAAACACATATTTGTTTTTCACTTCCTATCTTTTTTCAGTAAACAATCTCGCCTAAAACTGTTTGATATTTGCTCTCATACCTTTCCTTGCTCGGTTATACCCAATTGGACGTATTTATGCTAAAAGTAACTATGTCTCACGCAGACCCTATGCACATAGTTCCTTTTAGCATAAATACATCCAATATGTCGCTATCCAAGCAAAGAAACTTAACTCCATTCCAAGGTTGCAAAATTGAACTCAAAAACTAATTTTTTCAAAAGAAAGTACCTGCAAAATTTCCCCCTCAATTTTTGCCTGATTTTTGCATGAGGTCTAACGAAACATCAGGAAAATTTTCAGTTGGAAATGCTCAAAATTATCTCAGTAAAAACGCAATTTGCGAGAGAAAATTTTGCAACATTGAAATGTATTTACGTTCATTCGTGAGAAACGGCGAATTTTGAATGAAACGCACATTTAACGCACCCTTACGCACACTTAACGCACCCTTACGCACCCTTAACGCACCCTTACGCACATTTAACGCACCCTTATACGCAGTTCACGCACCACTTGGGATGGAGTCTCAACGGTGCTGCCTCTCGGGGAACACCGATAAACACCGATAAAAAGCGTGGAAAAGTCGCGATGACCGCAAAGGCTTTTTTCCGAGCGGACACGAAACGCACAACTGCTCGGGCAGAGCCACCGCCACTGCCGCCACGCGCCGCCACGCGAAATAATGAATTCAGAAACCCGGTCTCTTCCGTCAATCTCGAGTTTTGACCAAAAATGGAGTCGCGTTTTTTTTTTCTCGCGGCTCTAACCTTTAGCCGCGACGCCGCTCGCGCTGCAGGTTGATCCGAGACCCCGGGCGGATCCAGGAAGTTGGCAACACTGTTTTCTCCTCCTTTAAACCATGGTGCCTAGAATACTGCCATGCTAATGCCGCAATCATACGCTGAATTTAGCAGCTGAATGTGAAAGTCAACAGTCACCGCCCAACGGCCGAAATTTAGCAAATTCGAGTTATTTTCATCCAGATGTGTATCAAATCTACTCGAATAGTTCAGACTAATTTAACATTAGTCCGATGGTTGCTGAGAATCGTTGCTGAATTTTGCGCGTCACGCGCAAAATTCAGGCATCGGGCCGATGACTTCCACATTCAAGCCACATTCAGCTCCCACATTCAGCGTGTGATTACGGCATACGGAGGAACGCCGTATGAGCATCCGAGAGTTGCCAAATTCCCCTTGATAAAAAATGTATTTTTGACAACATTCTTGCATATTTTTCCTTGATATTTTCAGACATTTTAGATTAAATCGCGTACAAAATTGTCTGAAACCTTTGGAGAATAATCTTCGCAAGTTTTCTAGTAAATTCAGTTTTTATCTGAGAAAACTTGGCAACGTTTGAAGGCTCATACGGCGTTCTTCCTTAGCACGGCGGAATAGGAATGTTGCAAACTTCAGTTAGAGCAAGAGAAAGAGTTGTCTCTTAAAGAAATGAGCTTGAAAATTACGGTGAGTGCATCGGGAAAGTCCAAAATACACTCTTTACTCCACAATACACTGAAAAAAATACTTCTGTTCACAGGGCTCCTGCATTTCTTTCGTAACAGTCACAGAGGCTTCCGTTTTGAAGACAGAGTACTTCGTTCCCACGACCGAAGTTCTGTTCTCACAACAAAAAAATTCTGTAAGCGTAACAAAAAAACTGCAGGAGCCCTGTGAACAGAAGATTCTGTCGTCAGCACCATCTATTTTTTTCTGTGTAATGAGTAAGAAATATGCGCCACGTAAAAGCTTCCCGCTTCAAAAACGACATTGCGGCACAGGTGAACATTACGTGAGAGGAGTCGTTCCCTTCCAACTTTTAACCCTTGCTCACAATATTCATCATGGCTAACGCTCCCCCGCGCAAATCGTGAGGAGGGGCCATGGTCTTCATCACCTCAAGGAAAATGTAAATATAAACACACCGATTAAAGATATTCCGTTTCGTCACGTGTGTTTTGGTGGGTTGACGTCAGCCATGTTTAATATTGTGTAGCATCCTAGTGTGCAAGGGTTGGATAGAACGACTCCTTTTACAGAATATTCACCAGTGCCGTAGTTTCTTTTTTGAAGCGGAGAAGCTTAAAAAAAACTGCATATTCCTTACGTAAATTGTGAAGTTAAGAGTTTAAATTAGATTTTACTGAGGCGCTCATCGTGATTTTTAAGCCATTTGCGGTAAGAACCAACTATACTTGTTGATTCAGCTAAAAATTGTAACATATCCACTGCATTGAAAATGTTATTTTGTTTGCTTGCAACATTGTGAATTCTATTTAGATAATATTTTTTGAAGGTAATTAAACATTGATCTAGACATGAAACATTGATTGCGGACGTTACGGGTCACAATTGACTGCTTGGGCATCATCGAATGACTCGACAAGCGCCATCAACGTGAAGAAAAAAATGGACGAACGAATCAGAATATAATGCTGCGTGTTTAAACTTTGAAGTTAATTTACATACGTAGATCCTTGTTTTACTATCTTACGTCTCCTCTGTATTTCATCACATTCCATTTCCTTTCAAGGTACTGATGGAGCTTGTGGTTGCAAACGGTAATTTCCTTCGCCGCGAAAGGCAGCTCATGAGGCATTCGATCATTCTCGAGGATTTTCCTCTTGACCTACGAATACGGATGTCAAGTTCAATGAAATTTCAACCCGGCTTAAACCTTATGGTTAGGTAAATTGGAGCAGAGTCCTCAACTTCACTTAAATTCTTGATCAGTTTTACAATGCGTAGCTTGGGGTTTTTCAATTACTCGTGAGTCTAGAATTGTGTCAAGTGCAAAAATCTGCGTTAAATTGCTGTAGTTTCAGTCACCATGTATATGTATGTTCCGGCGTGTCTCGGGACGCAAACACTTAATTGAAGTGAATCCTGAATTAATATGATATGAATGATATTTAAATGATAAGACTTGTAAAGTATTTGTAAAATTATGCATTCCTGAGATACAAAAAAAAATAAAATAAAATGTATATGTATGTGAGTTGCACTATAGTCACAGAATCGTGTTTTATTGCTTTCAGCGGAGCATACAGAAACTTTCTGCATGATCCCTTCTTGCAGGCATGAACTGTTAGTTCAAAGAAAAGAAAGAAATCTAGAGAAATTAAAAATAAAATGGTGGAATCGCGTTTCCATAACTCAGCTTCCTTTATGACGCATACTAAAATTGTGAAATTATGACACTGACGCAAGTCTTATCTGTAGTTATCTGTTTGTATGTTTTTGTTTCCTGGGCGAGAAGCGGGTTGAAACCATCCCTAAAGATCGCAGGCTTGATCTTTTGTAGTTTTTTAGGCTTGGTTGCCCATTTTTCTTGTATTTTTAGTCTGTAGCTAACTAAACATGAATTACAGTGTATTGTACTGAATACAATTCACTGAAAAAAAAAAAAAACACATTGGATCTACAGTCCAGACTCTTGAAAACATTGACCAGAAAAAATACTCTTGATTCAATTGGATTTTTGCTTGAGTCAAAACGAAATCCACTTAAATTAAGAGGCTTTGTTCTTGATTTAAGCCAGATTCTGATTGAATCAAGAGTACTTTTTCTTCTCGATGCTTTTAAAAGTCTGGACTCTAGATCCAATGTTTTTTTTCCAGTGTT